TGGCTGTGGTTCAGAATATCAATCCTCGCCCTTGTGTTCTCATTATATGTCTCATTCTAGGACAATGCGATCACGTGGTCTCTAGCGCAGATGTCAAACTAGTATGTCACGTGATATATACACACATTTTGAACAATATGAATGCAAATTGAATGTCTGACATAAATACTCCACACAAAGAATCAGCATTCTGCAAGAACACTTTGTTTTCAGACATTCATTTGAAATAAGATGATTAAATACTTTGCATTTCAGTACTCAACGAAAACGAGAAGAAAGGAGTAATAATAAAGTTTATCTTTATAATTAATGAATCATCGTCGTCCAGATCACCAACATCATCTATAAGCTTTAAATATTAAGCAGTACTACTTTTTGGGTCTCCACATTATATCTCTTGCGTAAAACAATTTCAGTATGGTTAATAAGGTATAAAGCCGTACAGATAGACGAAATATTGCATTGATTATAAATGAAGTGATCGATGAGAAAAAATAAATTTGTCCTGCACAGTATTTAAGAAAATGTACTATAATTACACTTATTTTTCATCAACTGGAGGCTGATCCAAAAATATCGCTTAAGGAGGGGTGGGGGCGTAAACAATCATAGAATGAGTCAGTGGGATGGAACTAATGGTGTAGGCCCAGGGCACGAAAAGACAGGAAGCTCGGGGGATCTTAAGTTTTTTTAAGTTTTGTTTTGGAAGCTCGTATATTTTAAGTTTTCTTTTCTTCAGGGTATACTTTTAACGATCTAAATGCAAATTAAATGTACGCTAGGAAACGTTCTGGCGATTTTAGTACTAGTTTTCTTGTTCTATTGGGGAGAGGGAGTATTGAGCGAGAATTTGGTCATTATATTTATTTTTTCAATTTCGTGGTAATATTTTTTTTTCATTAAAGATTATTTATAACCATTACATCATCAATTTCATATTTAAGTGCATATATATTAATAATTGTTATACAAGAAGACTAGATATGCAAGCTATGAGCGTGATAAGGGAATCAATGATGCAGACGGCACATGATCATGTGAGTTTGCTCCAATTTTATGAACTATAACATACTAAAACTGCCTGAACTTCTCATTCATGTTGTTTCAGAATACCATGATACACACAAACAACGAGCACCATGAAAAGGCAAACATTTCTTCATTGATTAGCTCTCGAGAAAATATAAAGCTCGTAGCTGACTGCTATCCGTGTCCAGACCTGGTCAGTCTTTCTTTATATGCTAAGAGAACAGAAACCACGATTTCCGCTACTGAATAGGCACTAGGATTGAAAGGTTCCTTGGATAAGTTATTATGCAACCTCAGTGATCTATTCCGGTCAAGGATCATACGAACTAGTCTATACTGTAGATTATGACGTAAGTATAAAGTCTACTTACGTGACAGAAAGAAGTTAGGTAATCAAACCGGTTTATTTTGTCTTTACATTCGTTTCCTTCACCGTCAGAGTGAGAATCTATATTCACACTTTAATGTACTTGACAAACTCCGCCTCAAAGCCATAGCGGAAAGCTATATTAACAACTGAATGAGTTGGTGAGCTCCTACACTATCCCTTTATTAAAATGATCCTCAATGAAAATGAAAAATGAGACAAAAGGATAAACAGACTGTTCATGATGGTGGTGGTGGTGGTAGATGGTGTAAATCCAGGTGATTACTGTATTTGCAATGAAACAGCCATTCAACCAGTAATTCCAAGAACACGCTGATATAGTTCACTTCCCTTTTACTTGTAATTTGAGAACCTACCCTATCTGCCTACCATATTCGAGCCTCGAGGTACATATTCATCACAAAGTGCCTGCACACCGCACTCTAGGCTGGTTCAAAGACCATATTATAACAAAGTGTATACGTTTAAGACATTAGAATGGTTGTTATCAAACCCATATCATGGAACGGTGTCATAGCGTGTCTCTCTCTCTCTCTCTCTCTCTCTCTCTCTCTCTCATTTATATTACAACTGTATATAATTTGTTTTGCAACGGAATGAGATTGTGTATGCGGTAGTAAAGTCCTCCTGTTATTTTATTTGGGATTGGGGATGGCGGGGTATATGTTGTGTGGGCGAGACGATGGCTAGTGGTTAGAAATTTAAGGTAACCATTATGACCAGCAATATAATTTATGCTTCTTCTATTACTTTGATTAAAACCACCACTACTACCTGCAGCTTTCAGTACAATCAACACATCATATAATATTGTCAATATTATTATTATTATTATTATTATTATTATTATTATTATTATTATTATTATTATTAGTAGTAGTAGTAGTAGTAGTAGTAGTAGTAGTAGTAGTAGTAGTAGTAGTAGAAGTAGTAGTAGAAGTAGTAGCAGTAATAATAATAATAATAATAGTAGTAGTAGTAGTAGTAGTAGTAGTAGTAGTAGTAGTAGTAGTAGTAGTAGTAGTAGTAGTATGAAGTCAAATCTTTAATTATCCATTGCAACTTAAGCATTTGTCGCATTTTAATTTTTGGACAAATCGCAAACATGCAGGCGTGAAACATTTTGATAACAAATACTGGACGATAGTTCCTCTATACTAAATTTAGTAATTTGTTAATACACTTTTTATTACAAATCGCAAGCAAAACGTAATGTGGGTAATCTCAACAACTTGAAACGTTCTGACAACGGTCATACAATGCAAGGATGTATCTAATGAAATCCCAAATCTCTTAGGTCAAGAGAAAAGAGAAATGCATTACCTGAAGAAAGAGCAAACCATGTTTTGAAACTTTAATGTTTCGTGGCTGGGCTATACATATAGAGAAAAAGTGTTAGATGGTGGATTAGCATTCTTGTATTTAAATGAGGTGATCTTGGATTAAATAAAACATATGCTAGCTGTGTAAACATCATCTGTGACCGAAATTGATTCGCCTCTCTATTGTACGCATATTTGTATTCAATTTACGATACTATGTTAAAATAAGAAAATATCATTAGGTTCACCGACTAGAGCGTTATTCGACTTATATGTGTTCAATCCCTTATCATTTATCTTTCAAAAGTAAGTGTACACGAATTAGCAGACTGTTTGTTCCTTGATAATAGAATGTGTTAAAATATGGCAATAATGTTATTATGCATTCTTTATATCATAATTTTGTAAAAGCAAAGCCTCATTAACAATGTACAAATTGATCAATAACATAATATTTACAAGGTAGATTAAACACGACAAAGTGTAAATATTACTACAGTAAACAAATGATGTTCAACGATACTATAGCTGACAAGAAGATTTTATTGACACATTGAAAGCGTTTTATTTGAAACACATTTAGGAGTTTATTTCAAAATTCAACAAATCCAGAAGAAATGCGAAGTTTTCAAAATTGTATTCAAAACAAGGATTTTTAACACAGAACAGTGGATCAAGCAAACGCAAACCGGAAACAAGGAGATCACTAGACGATACATTTAAGAATTAATCGTAATTCTGCGAGTGCAATAAAGTAATCCTGGTAATAAATTGTCATGCTAGTGCTTGAGTAACCAGATCCAAAACTGATATTCTGGAGTGTAGTTGCCAATAATTGTTGGCAAATTCTTTAAGAGTCGATTGGAAAACCGTTTGGAGACCACAACTGTTAAAATCTAACCTATGAGACAAACTTCAAGATTGGGACATTTAAAGATAAGGAAGACCTTTATCTCAGTCAGAGACCGATCCGAAAATGAACTTAAACGGTTATAGAAACTGACACATCGCAGGATATGACGTCTTTAACCAATAATTACAAAACGTTTAATTGAAAGATTTTCACGTTGAGTATGAAGCATTCATTGAAATAAGGAGAACAAATACAAACTTACAAAGTTATTAATTTTAAGTAATTTTCATATAATAAAGCAACAAACGTTATGTAAGATACTAAAGTCTGGCAACCGTTTACTCAATGTATAATTAAATCATGACTAATAGTCTGCAATCATATTCCTTTGGTACATCATGATTACACATTTTTACAGTGTGCCATCGGGTGTCGATTAGGTAATAAATTATCTGTAAAGTTAGTGAAGTTGTCCTTTCGTTAATTTTTTAGCTGCAGACGATCTTCACAACCAAGAACCTACCGGTTCCATTCGATCTTGCAGTTCACGAGTGATCAATGTGTTGCTATTATTTGTAATAGAAAATAACATAAAAACTATATATTGTATGCAAGACGTTTCAGATTTACATCTAGTATTGTTCCGGTCCTGGTTACAATCGTCACAAATTAAAAGTCAGATCTGACAAAAAATAGTAGAAGACGTAAAGTATATGCACTGTAACTTACCTTTTTTATTGTCATCGTGAAATTTTTAATCAATATGTTAATTTCTTAACATTTTCAAATATAGGCCTTAACACCCTTCTTGTCTCAAGTGTATTAGCCCTTTCACATATAAGCTAACACGTTCACACGGCTGAAGTTAGACAAGAGTTAGTACTGCTTACATTTACCAAAAGCAAGGAAACTTGATATTTCTAAAATAGCTTTTTTGCTGATAAGAAAATTTACTTTTTGTTTTTATTATTGAATTTATCTGATTTTCAGGTCACACATATTTCTATCCACTGTGGTAGATTTCTGACAGATTTTTAACAATGTATGAATAACTCATTCTGCCATAAATGTAAAGGCTCTAAAAAACCACTGGCGTAATTACTTAAAAACTCAAAGTACCTTATCAAAGCAAATGTATGTTAAATTAAGTATCTTTTGAAAATATGTCCAACATCAAAGTCAATTACTTTCATTAAAAAGTTACTGAAGAGAAATTTGACCTAATTTTAATAGTTAAAAATTTAATGTTTATTAGATTGAAATGAAAAATGTTTATTTCAATTCAAACTTCTTTTGTTTTGTTTTAGTGGATTTTAGTGGCACTTTAACACATTATTGGTTACATCATACTAAGGAAATTGGAGTTATGTGCCTTTCCCAGCGGACAAATTCTTATATCCAACACAGCTAGCCCTGGTAGGTATCAAACCCACAGCCTTTGGATTAGGAATCCAGTGCTTTACCAAGTGAGCTACTGTGGGTCTTTAAAGTAAAATCACCTAAATATAGAGTCAAGATATGTTAGAAGGGAAATACCAATGTGTTTTAAAATCTATATTGTAAGAGAATAAATGAAGAGCTAGAAAGAAAAAAAAACAAATATAACTACACAAACATATATAGCAACTTTTATTTAATATGAACCACACCAAAATGGAAACAATCTGGAGTTGTACAGTCACCATGTACAAAGAAGGAATACTGTTCACAAAAGCACACAGACTTGATGCAACTATTTTAAAAACTCAAATATACTAGGTACAGAGAGAAATAAAATCACGAATTTCCGTATGAGTGAAGCCAACTTCAAACTTCTTACAGTTGAAAAAAAAAATATCGATGTTGTGTAAGAGAATTTTTACCAGTAAATGGTATTGTTTCCACAAAATTATTTTTGTGAAGAAAACATATTTCTTTCATTAATTGTATGTGGCTATCAGATTCAATTTGAAATATGTGCATATGTGAAATGTTTCAATTCAGAAGTGTACATGGATGACAATATTTATTCTTTCAACACATGCTTGGGTAAATAGGAAGTTACTGTATCTATGTCACCTTATGACAAAAGAATACATGAAGATGGAGCATGGACAAATAGAAAAGTGTTTGTAAAAACGAAAACAAATTGTTTCTGTCCACAAATTCTCCTTTGTATTGCTTGAACAACAAAATCTATCACAGCACACTTCAAAATGTGTATGTGAAAAAATATCACACCCAGTCCATTCAATCATGTTTCTATTTTACACACAGATAAAATTAGGCCAATGATTGCACAGTTGTCCCCTTCTTAAAGAGGCCACCCATCCAGTGATACACATTTGATTTTATTAATAGCGTGGCCTATGACAAAGAGTACCAAAAACACATCATAATATATGTACACTTCTTTGGTGCTGGACAAAATGACCTTATACAAGGAATGGCCTTTCCCATGAGGGGCCTATCTGAAGGGGGTCACTGCAGTTTTACATGAACTAACATGCTCATTTCTTGTTGTGATTGTTGACTACATTTGTTATATTGGTGAGTAAGAACTACAAACTACCATAAATTGCTACATTTTATCATCTTTGAATTATCACATTCTTATTTTAGTCTTGGACTGAATTTAGTGTTTACACAAGTTTCAGGAGTACATGTAAATAGCTAGGTCTACCTAAAGTACAAGTGTAAACAATCCTAAATTTCACTAAAAAAAAACATCATCCAACATATAAAAAGAAAACCATCTTTCGGGGCAAAATAAATCATGCTGAAAAAAATCCAGTATGTATTTTTAAATACATATGTTGTATTTAAAATCATAGATTTTAACAAAAAGACACATTATCTTGCAAAAAAACAAGACCCCCCCCGAGAAAAATGTTTCCCTTCAAAGAAAGAAATCTGACCCATACATAACAAATCATTTAAAAAGGCATTATATAAGCTTAACACAGGTAGTCAAGTATCTGGACAAAACATATACATTCTTTTTACTGTCTTAATCTGTGTTCCTACAATACAAAAGTCAGTCATCACACTCATCACATAGAATACACTTTTACATTCTTTCATTCCAGCTAAATTAAAAAATGGATACTCAGTGAAAATCCTATAAATTGTTTATCTTATCTTTAATACATTAAATATAACAAAAAGGTACCTTTACACAAAAAATCTTGACAAATACGGTACTCTGTCTTGTGTTTAAAATTTGTTCCAAGTTCTTCTGTCCATCATACAATGCCAAAATTAAACTCAGTACTTTATTTCAAAAGGTAACTAAAATGACACATTAAATTGGTATCACCTTCGTAATTAAAAACATTTTCATCTTGACATAATAAAATTATTTCTTTTCATGTATCATCTACAATAAACTAAATTAACAATATGTGGGAGAGTAAACATTACTTTGGTAATGATTTTAGAAACTACAATCACAACATTTTCTGAATTGTGATAAAATATCTGATTTATCTCAAAGAAGATCTCAAATATTTATATTGCTTTTGCTATTGTTATCATGTTACATGCACACTTTTGCTATATTATTCTGTGAAGCAAATTAGCATAAACAAGAATAAATTTTATTTAATTTGCAGTTGGCAGAAACTATGTAACACGTTGATAAAAGTAATGAAAAAGGGGCTTACTATACCAACTTGACATCACCTTTTAATTGCCTGGAAAGGTATCTAAAATTTTAATTTATAACGATTAATCTTCAAAACAAAATGTTTTGATTTTATTAAAATACTTTTGAATGAGCCAGTGTATTAATGTATGCTGAGCAATATAAGCAAAGAATTACTACAAAGAAACTTAAAATCTTTGAAAATTTTATATTTCTTCAATCATAGTGAGTGCCTGTACATTACCTAAATTTCCACATCTTGAACACTGCTCCCGATTGTTCTCTATGGTAAAATGAGGTAAAGAACAATAAAATTAATTTTACCTAAGACACACTAATAACTTTGTTGAAATAACATAATAAACTGTAATTGTATTGCTTGTAAGTGTTTCAACACTGCACATTTATTTCATATGAGATTAGTAAACAGTGTTTGATTATTAATGGCTATACTTCAAGACAATACATTGTCCAGATGGACAGAACAAATGCTCTGCAGAACTTGGGTCTTTTTTATGTCTTTTTATATATGCTCCCCTCACCTGAACTCCTCGCCTCCCATGCCAGACCCATATATGAACACTGAAAATGACATCACTACTGCTGTTAAGTGGCACTTATTATTTGGTCTTACCATGTTTACACAACCAAGGCAAAATATATTTTAGTCCCTCACTGTAAAACACCTCGTTATACTGTAGCTCTTCATACAACAATAGCATGGGCATGTGCTTTAATTCTAATACTGCTATTTTGCTTCACTTTAGTCTTTGAATTATGACAACCCAATTAAAAATTTTATCATTAATTATCCTGATTTTTTTTCTCATTGTTTTGTTCATATTATTCCTCATTAAAATGCAACCTCAGCCGCAATACAATTTTAAAGCTATCACAAATAACAATAAAATGAGGCAACTCTACCAGAAACATAGCCTTGTTTGTACTATACCTCAGCATAAAATGACCTCACTCCTAAGACAACTTTGTTTAAAGATTTCTACAAATTACATTTTAATGAGGTATGACTATTCCACAGACTTTGGGTGACATTCAAGTACCAACTGTAGAATTATAACAAACTGCAAAACAACAACTTGTATAGAATTAAACATGTAAATATGAAAATTATAGTGAGATTCCAGCTAAATAAATCTGTAATTTAAGACTATTTTATTACTACAATTTCACTTAACATAAACTAAGGTATGTTTAGATACCACAACAAAAAATAAGGTATGTTTAAATACAACAAAAGGAAAACAATTGTGCGCAATAAATATCACAAACTATACTGGCCATTCTAAATATCAATGTCAGATAGCTCAATATTGACATTTATCAATAATGACAAAAACTATTAGCAATGAATAATCAATCAATATTTATATCAAATAACTTACTAGATTTTCTAAGAGAAACAATCTTGATGTTTCACTGGAGTTAAAAAATATATTTTTAATAGCTGTTAACAGACAAGGGTACATTATAATCAAAAAGTCTGCAGTTAAGTCAATTTTTAAGTACAGCTGCTTCCATAAAACAAATAGAAAAAAACATGGTGTAAATTTTTTTTAAATGTGTTATTTTTCTTTTAGATTAGAAAGAAAATTATGCTACTGTTCATATTGTCTTTGCGAAAAATCACGAAACAGCAGAACATAAACAGCAACCTGTTCATATTGCAAGAGACACAGTAAGAAATCTGCCACTTTAATGTTTTATCCATCAGGCTAGCTAATACATTTGAGCATAAAGTAAATAAGAAATCTGCATCCTACAAGTAAATAAAGGATGTTTCATCTCACGGAAGAAAAACCTGAGCATTTTCACCCACTCATTGAAATATTCACCTGTTTCAAGTAAATACCCTCTATCACATCATCCAAAATATAAATATATGTCATCAAGAAATCAAACATACTGTACATAAACTGATCAAATTAGGATAAAGACACACCATTATTTTACATTCTAGGCAGTGAGTATATCATGACATGAATTCACATATTGCAACATTTAGCTAGCCAATTAATGTACATTCATCAAAAAAAATAATAGCTGTCAAATTTAAATGTTAATATATCCAAAATTAATGTGCCTAACAGCCTATACATAAACAAAAATTAGGCAAACTCTGAATTATTTCAGAAAAAAACCCCATAAACTTGGCTTTCTTGTATAAATTCTGTTTAGCATTGGCATTTTAAAAATATTCTTAAATTTAAATGTTTATGATATTATGCATTTAAAATTTCTCTTGAACAGTCATTTAATGACAGGTCTTGTTTACTTTGGTGAAGTAATATCATTTTTTACTACCATCCTTCTAACCACTTTTATCTAAACATAGACATAAATGTTTGACAAAATAGGAAAGCCAAAACAGGGTCTACATAATTATGATGAAAACTATGCTAACATGACTGGACAAAACAGAATCCTTGAATTTATTCTTTGCTACTGACCTGACATAGTGTAAAAACAAAATTTACAATATTATTCTAAGAAAAAGGAAGATCAATTACAAGAAACAAATTTTGTTAACAACAAAAATAATACAATAAATAAATAAAAACAAAAAAGGGAACACTATTTAATAACCCTTTGCAGTATGTACTTCAGATCCTACAAAATTCAAAATGTTAAAACAAAAATCTACAAACTTCATTTCATGCTCAAATATGTAACTTAAAACTCCAAGTTAACATTATCTTCATACAATTTACATTGCTACGGCATTGAAAAATATTTACAAAGTTTCTGTTAAGAATATAGGAAAGACAGAAAATACAAATAACTCGGATTTTAGAACTCTGGTTAGACCTGTTATATTTATGAAATACTGCCTCT